GTCCATGATGCAGCAAGTAGTACTCACTCTCAAGATTTTATCCTAAGGATAAAATTCAACAGAATAAAGTGACAATGTGGACTTTCATTTATGAGAAAATGGTAGACTAAATATTCTGAAAAACCATCCCACTGCAAAAACCATAGAAATCCTAGATAAAATACAAAAAAAAATCTTAAAAAAATATTTTTTTGCTGAGGAACATTAGCCCTGAGCTAACATCTGTGCCAGTCTTCCTCTATTTTGTACGTAGGACACCTGCCACAGCATGGCTGACGAGTGGAGTAGGTCCGAGCCCAGGATCCGAACCCACAAACCTGGGCCGCCCAAGTGGAGCGCAGAACTTCAACTACTTGGCAATGGGGCCGGCCCCCCCAAAAAACATCTTTTAAATGGTATAGTTGAGTTCGTAAGAAGGAAAATCCTCAGGAGTGAAAATAAAGAGGGAGCTACAAACTAGCATGGTAAGTGGCTGATGACCTTGAGCACATTCATCACTCCCAGGAACCTAAAGGCTTGTGTTTTAATGACCTCCTATGCGTGGGAGACAAGATCTTGGGCTCAGGGAAGGTAGGGAATTGGAACTGAGACCTCTGCATAAAGGCAGACTATCAAAGGACAGTAAGGTGAAACAAAATGGAGACAGAAGAGAGAGCATGTGGAAAGGTCAATCTTCTTCAGTATAACTGAAGAGCAAAAAATACAAAGAGAAAATCTTAAAAGCTGCCAGAGAGAAAAGAGAGATAATCTAAAAGGAACAACAACTAGACTGGCAGCAACAGTGAAACAATAACTTCAGATTGCTGAGAGAAAGCCACCGTCAATGTAGAATTTGATACCTACTTAAATTACGTATTTAAGAATATGGGTGAGGGGCCGGCCCCGTGGCATAGCAGTGCGCACGCTCCGCTGCTGGCGGCCCCGGGTTTGGATCCCGGGTGTGCACTGATGCACCGCTTGTCAGGCCACGCTGTGGCGGCGTCCCATATAAAGTGGAGGAAGATGGGCACGGATGTTAGCCCTAGGGCCAGTCTTCCTCAGCAAAAAAAGAGGAGGATAGGCATGGATGTTAGCTCAGGGCTGATCTTCCTCACAAAAAAAAAAAAAAAAAAGAATATGGGTGAAATGAGGACATTTTCAGAAAACCAAAAACTGAAAGAGTTATCACCAAAAGATGTTCATTAAAGGAGCTTTTAGGAGTATACATCAAGATAAACAATCCCAGAAGGAAAGTCTGAGATTTATAAAACAATGATAATGTCTAATTTGGAGGTTAAAAACAAGATGGTGCTAAAATACTGCATAACAGTAACTTTTAAGACAAAGGATGGTGATTAGCATTCTAAGGCCCTTGGATAGTTTGGCAGGGGGTGGAGCTATTGATTTAGACTTTAAGTCCACATGCTAAAATTTAAGAGTAATCACTAAGAATAGAAATAGAGTGTATAACTTCCAAAGCAATAGAGGGGAAAATGTGGAATCAGAACAATCTGAAAGAAAACAGGAAAATGGGAAAAAGACATAGAAAAAGCAGGACAGATAGCACAAAATAAAATGGTAAACATAATTCCATATATCAACAATTAATTAAAATCACAATAAAGTATAAATGGTCTAAACTCACCAGCTAAAAGAAAGATATCCTCAGATTGGATTAAAAGAAAACAAAACAAAACATTCCAGATATTTGCTGTATCCTAGAGAAAACCTAAAACACAAAGACATGGTATATCAGAATAATTAATGTTAGCTGCTGTAACAAACAACCCCTATGATTGCTGGGGCTTAACACAACAAACTATTTCTTGCTCACATTACATTTCATCAGGTCAGGCTGCTGCTCTGGCTGTTGCTTCTTCAATCAGTGACATAGGAATCTGGGATCCTTCAATCCTAGTCCTACCATCTTGGAGTTGTTTGCCTCGAGCCATGTGAACAGGGGAGGGAGAGAGCATATCAAAGACCATGTATCACATTTTAGGGGCCAAACCTAGAAGTGGCATACATCACTTCTGCCCACATTCTTCTGGTGGTCCCAACATAACTGCAAAAAGAGTTGGGAAATGTAGTCCTGTGTGCCAAGGAAGAGGAAATGGAATTAGTGACCATTTAGCCAATCTGTGACACATAAAAATGTTGAAAATAAGAAAAGATGGAAAAGGATATGCCAGGCAGATACTAACCAGAAGAAAGCTAGAGTAGCTCTGTTCATATTGGACAAAATAGCCTTCAAGGCAAAAATGCATTATTAGGAATAAATATAGTAACTGCATAATGATAACAAATTCAATTCACCAGGAAGAGACACTAATTCTGAAATTATATATGCATTTAATGATATCTTCAAACAACATACAGCAAAAATTGACAGAATTATGAGGAGAAACTGAGAAGTCCACCACCATAGTAGGATATAACATATAGCTTTCTCAGTAATTGACGTCATACAGATCAAAAATTAGTAGCATATAGAAAATACAAATAATACAATTAACAAGCTTGATCAAAAGGACACGTATAGAATCTTGTATCCAACTATAGAGAATGCATCTTTTTCTTAAGAGTACAAGAAACATTTATGAAAACTGAGCATACATTTGGCTATATAAAGCCAGTCCCAACAAGTTTCTCAGAATCAGTTATCATACAAATCATGTTCTCTGATTACAGTGCAATTAGGTTAAAAATAAATAACAGAAAGAAAACCAAAAGAAAGAAGACCATGCATGAAGATGTTCACTCTAGTGTTAATTACCTACAATAATTTATCCAAAGAACTTGAAAACACCAATTTGCAAAGGTACATGCACCCCTGTGTTCATTGCAGCCTTATTCACGATAGCCAAGACTTGGAAGCAACCTAAGTGCCCATCAAGGGACGAATGGATAAAGAAGCTGTGGTATATATACACAATGGAATACTACTCAGCCATAAGAAACGACGAAATCCAGCCATTTGTGACAACATGGATGGACATTGAGGGTATAATGCAAAGTGAAATAAGTCAGAGGGAGAAGGTCAAATACCGTATGATTTCCTTCATTAAGTAGTAGATAATAACAACAATAAACAAACACATAGGGACAGAGATTGGATTGGTGGTTACCAGAGGGGAAGGGGGGAGGGAGGAGGGTGAAAGGGATAATTCGGTACATGTGTGTGGTGATGGGTTGTAATTAGTATTTTGGTGGTGAACATGATGTAGTCCATGCAGAAATAGAAGTACAATGATGTACACCTGAAATTTTTACAATGTTATAAACCAATGTTACTGCAATAAACAAAAAATTAAAAAAAAAAAAAAAAATAATTACCTACAATAGTGAAAAATTAGAATGACTGAAATATCCAATGATATGGGAATGGTTAAGTAAATTATGCCTCATAATGGGCTATCATGTGGCCATTAAAAATTATTTTTTTTAAATGGACTGTGTTTAAGATATAATTAAGTGAAATTTTTAAATCTATATGTCACTTATAATTACAACCACGTGTAAATACGTGTATATTTAGATAGGTTAGAAAGATATAAGAAAATGAAGAGTTGTTATATTATACTGGTGAGATTATGTGTAATTCTACTTTTAAAAGGATTTTCTGTGATGTGGTTACATTGTTTAATGTAAGTTAAAAGAACCAATGGAAGACATGATCTCTGTCTGGCAGCTGATGCTAGTTATGCCTTAATATCCATTATCTCTTTCTCTTATAACAATAGAATTTTACTTGGGTACAAAACTGCCCAAAACAAGAGCACAGTTCCCAGCCTCCCTTGTAGCTAGACATTACAATGGGACAAAGTCATAGCTAATGAAATATGAGACGTGGGTGGGTGCCCTTAAACGTAAAGAATCTGTCCTACCTTTGTCCTTTTCCTTCATCTTGTTACCTGAAATCTTCCTTAGCTTTATTATTGCACATACTATGGATGGACTGAATCTGATATGCATTTGATTGGATGAAGGACTGCTTTCCAATTTAATGGATGAGAATATGCATGATTCATGAGGACAAATACGTATTTTCTATTCAACCAGTGTCCAGAACAAGCTCTGAAAACAAGGGGATTATCCATCCTATTTTTGGATAGCAAATGAGGATATTGAAGAGTACACATTTATGTTAAATATATTCTAGTGGGAATCATACACATTTACTCCAATATTCTTTATCATTTAAGAGAGTGTTTTAGCAGAGGATGAGATCCATTTATGGGCTGCTTTGCTTGAGTTAAATCAGCAATCAACCTCCACATTTTAAATGTTAAACAAAATCAAGAACTATATTTTTAAAGTTCAATAAATAATGCACTTTGTTTAATTATCACAGTCTCTGGTAAGGTTTGATACACTCCAATAGCCTGGATCACAAAAAATATCAATAATTTGTACCATATCAGGAATGGGAATTCATCAATTGAAAAGGAAATTGATAAATATTACTCAAAATCGTCTTTATACTTGAAAAATATCCCAAGTGCAATATTAAAGCAGATGCAACATTCTGCCCAGGTGCTTACAATGCTCCACAATGATTAGGTATGATATGTCATGCCTCCTGCAGCAACAAATTCATTATTATTTTTATTATAATTCAGAATAGGTCAATCACAAGCTGTTCTGTACAAACAACATGCTACTAAAAAAGAAAGACACTGGAGGCTGACTCAAGAGCAGCTTTTTATTCTGTGAATTCTAATATTTATGCTAAGCATGGCCTGTTCAGATATGTTTTTTTTTTAATTCATTTTATTTTATTTTATTTTGTGAGGAAGATCAGCCCTGAGCTAACATCCATGCCAATCCTCCTCTTTTTGCTGAGGAAGAGTGGCCCTGGGCTAACATCTGTGCCCATCTTCCTCCACTTTATATGGAACGCCACCACAGCATGGCCTGACAAACAGTGCATCAGTGAGCGCCCGGGATCCGAACCCGGGCCGCCAGCAGCAGAGCTCGCACACTTAACCGCTACGCCACGGGGCTGGCCCTGACACATATTTTTTAAATGAAAGAAAATCACAATTGAATAAAAGTTCCAGGGACTAATTTACTCATCATTTCTTGAACAAAACTGTATATGGTTAGTTTGAGGGCATCTAGTCAAAATAATTTATTGAGATTAAAATTCTGTCAGTAAAAAATATTGGTAGCTATGGTAATACAAAAAGAGCTTAAAAATCTGTCATGCATTTAGTTAAGAGAGCATACTGAGGGCTTGTTTATATTTTGTTTTCCTTTAATACTCATACTCATCATTTATAGACAGACAAGCAGATTGTTAAATAACTTGGTTTTCTGTCAATTAGCTGTGCATTAACATGATAGAGAATTATTAATACACAAGTCTTGACACCAAGCAAATAATTCCTTTTCTTCTTTTTCCAATTTGTCATCCGACATGAGTTCATTGACTTTCACAATGTCAAAAGATGGAGTGGAGAAAACCATCGTCTTTTGTTGCTTTGTACCTGGTGTGTCCATTTGCGGTTCCTAGGTAGAATTATAAATAAAAGCAGAAAGTGTTTTATATTTAGTTTTTACTACTTTATGTATTTATATTTGACTGTTAGCCTCATCTCAAAAAAATTTATAGCAGATTTTTAGAAAATTACAAAGTAATACGTGTTCATTGTAAACATTCCTACAATGTAGGAGTATACTGAGGCAGACTTTACACAGTATATAGCTTTTAATATGCTTAGATAGAAATGACTCCCATTTTGAGAAAAGCACCATTAGAGATGTGCTGAATCAACAGTGTTAACATACAGAGACAATAGGTTTTTTTTTTTTTTGCCAACTCATGCTAATGTGAAGCCAAAACAGCTGGTATTTATCAGAATAGCCACTCATATTGTTTAAGAATTTTTAAAATATGTGTTACTAAGAGGAATGTAGCTTTATACTACCCAAGGTATATACCAAAGGTGTTTCAGCCTTGATTGAACTATTGTAGGTTAGGAAAATTCCACTTATGGAAGTAGAATTACTTACAGTTTGAATATTGTCCAAAACAATGAATTTAGTACAAGTTAACTTACAGTCCCCACAGAAGCATTTTTTTCTTTAGCCATCTTAAAAGCTTTTTTCATTTTCTCAACTTTCATTTGAGCTTGCTTCGATCGACGACCCAGATGTTTAATTTGACTTTGCTGTTGGTAGGGCCGATATAAAGGTTGAATATTTGAGAAGGATGAAGGGCACCTAGAAAATATTTGTATTACAGACAGAAATATTGCACAAAATAAAATTTAAATGTAAAGCAAGTTCCAAATTTTATTAAAGCATCCTCTAGAAAATATATCACTGACCTCAGTACTTGGAGCAATATTGCATGTAAGTTTTTAGGCCAAAGTTATCATTTCTGCTTGAGTTACACAGCATAGTTCTTTATCTGCCACTTAAGAAGGTGTATAGATGATGACATTGAGACAATGATGATAAAAATTATAAAATGTGGCATCAATTTAAAATCAGCTTTCCTAGAAAATACTTGTAGTAGTCATTTGAATATTTTTTTTTAATACTATCTACTAACACAAAAAAGTATTAAATTTCATAATGGCTGAAAAAACAAGCTGTTTTTATCCTTGCTGGGATCAGACACAGTGGGTGCCATGCCCATAGTTCCCTTGGCCTTACCTTTGCAGGGCACATAGGCTCAACTTTCAACTGCCAGCATTGGCTTCACTCAGCCTGAGAGCTTTCTTGTGAAAACAAGAGCCCATGTGTGAGGAAGGTCCTGAGAATTAGTACCTCCCCTCCTAAGCAATCCTTAACCAGTGACTGATGGGCATTGGTGTATAAATATCCCAACTCCCTTGCCCCCTGAGGGATAACTTGAGTTGCATGTTCTACACTGGTTCAGACACTCCCAGGAGGAAATAAGTTTCAGTTACCCACAGTAGTAACTTGCTCGCTAATACACACTGTTTTGGCTGCCTATCTTTCCCTGTTTCACTTCCCTACTCCCTTTCATCAGTGGTTCCTGGAATCACCTCCCAAATCAACTACTCGTACTCAAATCCTTGCCTCAGAGTTTGCTTCTGGGAGATCCCAAACTAAGACTGCAATCAAAGAAGCCTTTAAGAAAGTACTTTTTCCTCTTCAATTGATTTAGAATTTGGCTACTTATTTGGCTCTTTAAGTGACTCATTCTTGGATATTCAGTAGCATGAGTCCAAATAGCAGGGAGCCCTAGGGTTATATATGGTGGCAGAGAAAATTACATCATTTATTTGACCTTGGCGGTAATAGGGTTAAGTTCTATATTCAGTGCTTATATGGATGAGTTAGAGAAAATCTATTTCATGATGACAGACTGCACCCTACACCAGGCCATCTGTCTGGCAAATGTATAGCCTTGATCAAAAAATAAAAGGGGTTAATTACATTATTGAGTCAGCACCACTCATCTCTACTCCTGAAAAAAAACCAGTATGTTTGCTTGACAGTGGGTCACCAGTGTCTTCTTCATGTACTAAAGGAGTATTTTTCATTTCAAATATAACTTTGTGAAAATAGACTACCAATAGGTCCTCTTCAGTCTTATTATCTCTTTCTTTTTCTTAAGAAAATAAGCTTAATTTATAAATAAGATGGGCTAGCTGAGACTTGGTAATAGAAAGAAAAAAGGAATATAATTGAAGCAGTCATATTCTGTCCATGTTGTTTCAGATCATAATACAGTCTATTTTGCTACAACATGTGTTTCTATAATGTGAATTGGCTCGCATGATATTGGTAAAGGAGGGAATAATGTCACTGTAATTTACACACAATTTATCCTTGGCAAAGGGAGCCAGAATAGCAAGAGTAGAATTATAACCTTCAGCAGGAAAAAGTCCTCAGCTCTGTGTGGCATGGGCAACGGGAGCCCCTTTGGCTGTATTTATGAAAACAAAAATTAGCACCCGCACCTAGGGCTCTCTCCCCAGAGAGGCACCCCGTCCTCCAACAGTCCACCCTTACTGCCCTCCACCCTACTCCCCGCCTTGGGTGGTTCTTGGTTCTTGACAGGTTGCACTGCCTCTCATGTCCACTTAAAAGGCAACCACACTGGCCCAGGGCTCCACTTCCACCTGCACTGTCTCAGTGCCCACTACCTGCTCTAATTAAAGAGTCACCAGCATTTCCACTCTATTGTACATTTTTTTTAAAGATTTTATTTACTTATTTATTTTTCCCCCCAAAGCCCCAGCAGACTGTTGTATGTCATAGCTGCACATCCTTCTAGTTGCTGTATGTGGGACGCGGCCTCAGCATGGCTGGAGAAGCGGTGCGTCCGTGTGCGCCCGGGATCCGAACCCAGGCCGCCAGTAGCGGAGCACGCGCACTTAACCGCTGAGCCACGGGGCCGGCCCATGTTGTACATTTTTTACATTTGTTGTGGCAGCCTCCAGCCATCCTGAGCTGCCTGTCTGGTGGTACAAGTTATCTCCCCAGGTACCAACTGTCCTTGTTGTTTTTTGTGAGATCAGCCCTGTGCTAACATCCACCAATCCTCCTCTTTTTTTGCCGAGGAAGACTGGCCCTGGGCTAACATCCATGCCCACGTTCCTCCACTTTATATGGGACGCTGCCACAGCATGGCTTGCAAAGCGATGTGTCGGTGCGCACCTGGGATCCGAACCGGTGAACCCCGGGCTGCCACAGCGGAGCACGCGCACTTAACCGCTTGCGCCACCGGGCCGGCCCCACCAACTGTCCTTTTTGTTAGTGCTCTGTTTACAAAGTTGCATAAGTTTTGAGCAATCTGCCCCAACTCTATTTTTCCCATATGCCCCATTATTATCTTTAGTGAACTATTTGGCAGAATGTGAATATTTTCAGAAATGCCCCCAGTATTTTAAACCTGGTGAAAGATCACTTTTACCTAATTTCAGAAACAATCCGGAGCTGGCGCTGACGCATCTCTTCTGTCTGTGGTCTCTGTAACAGATGCTTCATTTCTTTTCGTAGACGGTTTGAGATTATTCCAGATTCTGCATAATCAACTATGTCATATATTATCATTGTCTTGGGAATGTTTTTGAGGTTTAATCTTCGCCAGTAGTTATTTCTGCCACCAGAAGACGCAGGGGTCTCATCCAGAAGACTGGAATACTATATGGAAAACACAATTAAGAATGATTGATTGTGGGTACTCTAGAATGTTTTTAGACACATTTCCCAAGGTTCCACTCAAACATCACTTCATCCAAAAAGCATCCCTTGATTCCATCTCTGAACTTTACTGGCATCTCTCTACTATGACTCTTATTACTGACAATCAATGTTTTAGCTATCTGGAAGGCAAAATCCTCGTCACACAGTATCATGCACATAGTACCACAGTCACTAAATATTTATTTACTGCATAAACATTTTAATGGCAAATATAACTCAGATAAATTAAACTCAGGATGAGCCTAAAAATTGAAAATAGCTATGTGATCTGCATACCTGGTAGTGCTCACTCATGACATGCTTGGGTTGAGAGGACATTTGCACAAATCTTTTTAGAAATAATGAGTTCATCTCTGGTGCTAAATGATGAATTTCACTATTTTTATTTGGAAAATTTGTAGAAATCCCACTTTTCTTTTTTTAAACTTAAAATATCAAATTAGGAATTTAAAAATGAAATATATATTCAATTCAACCTTATAAATGTTCATTTATGATAGGAATAGGGCAGGAGGAGCTACAATGCTAGGAAACGGAATAATAGCTAGGCATTTAGGGTATACCACACACACACACACACACTCACACTCATACAGGCAGTCCTCCCTTTGTATCATTTAGGCATGCACAAATTTCAATTACCACCATTTAATCAAATAAGCCAGTCCTTCAACAACATGGTTCAAATTTCAGTTATCACAGTATAACTGAGTAATTGCATTAGGTACAAACTCTGCTGCTAGCTCTTCAGTCCGTGGATCACTACATAAATAACAGATATGCATGGTGATTAGTGACAAATCTTGTCACTTCTTTCAAAGTGTGTCAGTGATTGGTCACTGCAGATCTGTTAGTTCACACACAGACAGCAAAGTATGTAGTTGTGTTGCCTCTTTGTCTCCCAGTGATAAACCCAGGTGACATTTTACAAAAATGAATAATCAAAAGAGGGAATAGGCCAACAAAGAAACAAAAAGTGGTAATTGTGGAAGTGAAATTCAAATAGAGTGTAAATGGAGTTTTAGAAGAAACAGGTGACCGTGGGGATGTTGACACTGCCCTCATTCAAGAGACTGCAGATAGGCAGTCAGAGGAACTTGGTGAAGGTGAATTTATCAACATAAATGAGGAAAGTGGCTGTGACGAAAAGGATGAAGCTGTCCCAGAGGAAGTGACGCTGGCAAAAAAAACCCACTTCACATTAAAGGAACTCTGAGATATTTCACAACATTTAAAACGCAAAAGATAAAATGCTGGTGGGTGATCCAAACTTAGAAAGGAGTATGACAATTTGCCAAGGCCTAGAGCAGATGCTCACTCCATATTATAAATTATATGAGAACAAGAAGCCAAGTACTATTTAAGCTATTCTTGATAAACTGGTTTTTTTACAGCTTTATTGAGATTCACATTCCATATAATTCACCCATTTAAAGTGTACAATCCAGGCTTTGGGGAAAAAAAAAAAAGGAGGAGGATTGGCAATAGATGTTAGCTCAGAGCCGGCCTTCCTCAGCAAAAAAGAGGAGGATTAGCATGGATGTTAGCTCAGGGCTGATCTTCCTCACACACACACAAACACACAAAAAAGTGTACAATCCAATGGTTTTTAGTATATTCACAGTTGATAAGGTTTTTACAAAGAAATAAAATACTTCAATTCTCATTGTTTCTAATGCTTTAAATTATAGTGTACTAAATAAGTGTTTTGCTTTTTTTCATTTTCTTATATATTTATAACAGGCAGTACCAGAGTTTTTAACATTTTGACAAGATTTTTTAAAGGTCATGGAGCAATTACAATTTTTCCCATCGATTATTAAGTTTGCTTTGCATGGTTTCAGCCCACATGGTCATTTTTTATGGTCCTGTACTACTGTGCAAAGTAAGGACTGCCTGCATATTTTATTTCCCGAGAGTAGAGTAGTAAAATGGGTAAACATGTCAGAACTTTCAATGATCTGCTCTGCACTTATAGCTATGTGACCTTGGGCAAGTTTTAAAAACTCTCATTAAACTCCATTTTTCTCATCTGTTAAAACAGTCACATAATTTACAAACTTGAAGATTAAAGAAGATAATATGCGGGCCAGCCCGGTGGCGCAGCAGTTAAGTACACGAGCTCCGCTTCAGCGGCCCAAGGGTTCGCAGGTTCAGATCCCGGGCACGCACCCCTTGTCAAGCCATGTTGTGGCGGTGTCCCATATAAAGTAGAGGAAGATGGGTACGGATGTTAGCCCGGGGCCAATCTTCCTTGGCAAAAAGAGGAGGATTGGCATCGGATGTTAGCTCAGGGCCGATCTTCCTCACACACACACACACAAAAATAGAAGATAATATGCATATAAAAGAGCTAAAAACAGTGCTGTGTCCATAAAGGGCTCAATAAATGTCAGCAATCATCATATCTCTCTCTTCCAATATGTCTATCTGGGGACTTCTTTCTATGACATCAATCCTTGGCATAGTCACAATCTGCAAGTATGTAACCCATGTCCTTAGCAAAGATAGCTGGCATCCCCAAGCTCTACTTATTTCCTAGTTCAATTCCCTAATCTTCTAGGTTAAGGCTAAAAGAAAGAAAACACAATTGGAAGTCTCTAAGGCACTGCATTAATTTCATGTTTCACATTGAAGAAACTGAACGAGTAGTTAAGGCCATATATTATTATTATGAGCTAGAACTTTGAGATTCGTTGTTTCTTTAGAACTTGTAAAATGGGGGTAATAATAGTACCTACTTCTTAGGGTTGTTATGAAAATAAAAGGAGTTGGTATTATATCAGCATTTGCTATTATTATTATTCAGGTATCTATTTTAAGTTCCTTGATTCAGCACTGCTGTCTGACCAGATATGCAAACCAGAAACCCAGGAGCCATACTGGACACCTTCCCTTAGCTTACCTCCCTGTCTGTCACCAAGGCCCACTGTTTTTATTCTCGAATTACCCCTTGCATCTCCAGCCTCACAGCCCTAAACCAAGATACCACCATCTCTCCTAAAATACTGCAGGGACCTCCAAACTGGGAGAAGGCTCTTACTGTCCTCTAATTCATTCCCTGCATTGCAGCCAGACGTTTCTTTTCACTCTAGATTGGATCACCTCATTTCTCGAAACACTGCACCAACTTCTCATTGCACACAGAATGAAGAAAAAAAAGACACCTTACTATGGTCGAAGGCCTGCATGATGATCTCTTACCGGCCCTCCAGCCTGACCGTATACCACACCCTCTGTGCTCTCTCTTCTCTAGCCCCACAGACCTGCTTTCAGGCCCTGCAGCTCCTCCTGCCACAGAGCCTTTGCCTGGGGTGTGCCAGCTGCTCAGCCCTAGACTGAGGCTGTGACACATTGTTGATTGCCTGCCCATCAACCATTTCCCACTTCTCCTTGCTCATGGAGCCCTGAATTTTTTTGTTGGGTATGAACTGGCAATATGCTCCAGGAAGGAGGGCCCCAGCACATGAACCATAATTGTTCTAAGTCAATTGTGGGAAATGATCCCATTTCCCTTTATCAGTGATTGGTTTAGGGGGAGCATGTGATCCAGGCCTGACCAACGGGATCTGAGGGGAAGTCTGTTGGGGCTTCTGGGAAAGATTTTTCTTCCTGAAATAGAGAAAGATGCTAGGAGTCCCCTTCTTCCTGCCTTTGAAAGTAGTTGAGAATGCGACAGTCATCCTGTTACCATGTAAAGGAAGCCAAGAGAACTGTAGAGTAGCCCACCCAGACTTCTGATGTCCTTGAGCTGCTGCATTAGCTAACCCAGGACCCACCTATCTGGGGACTTCTTACCTGGGACAATAAATGTCCTTTATTATTTAAGCCTCTTGTGGTTGGGGATATTCTCTTACTTGTAGCAGAAAGTATCCAACCAACAATAGAACTCTTCCTTATTAGATCAAACCCCCATCATGCACTCTCTTAGCACCATGTATTTATTTTTTATTGAGATAAAATTCACATAATATAAAATTCACTATTTTAACCATTTTAAGTGAATTTAGAATAGGCAAATTTAGAGACACAGAAAGCAGATTAGTGGTTGATAGTAGCTGAAGTGATGAAGGAATGGGAGTGACTGCTTAATTGATATGAGGTTTCCTTTTAAAGGTGACAAAAAGGTTCTGGAACTAGATGGTGGTGATGTTTGCACAACACTGTGCATGTTCTTAATGCCACTGAATTGTACACTTTAAAACGGTAAATTGTATACTGTGCGTATTTTACCATAAAAAAAATGTACGATTCTTTCTTCTTGGAGGATAGGGTCAGAAGGCTTTTATTGTTGTTGTTTGTTTTCAGTATCTAAATCTAAGTTCCTTACTTGCATGTAATCTTTCAGGGTGACAATATCTATTTTATCACTTATTTTGAACTTCTGGAAAAGATATTCATCTTCCATAATTTGATGGTAAAATTTCTTTTTCCCCATTATTTCACAAGCATCAACCACTGCCTATAAAGAGAACAGAAAATAGACGTTTAAAATAGTTGTAGAATAGCAATAATTATCAGCACACACTTTACATGTTTTCTGACAAATACATCAAATATTGTTCCTTTCTTCCAGCAGCTTGCAATTCAATAAAAAGACTATATTTACAAAGAAAAGATTATATAGGGATGTTTAAACCACTTAAAATTTGTTTCCATAACCGTATCTACATAGTCTTGAAATGTAGCTAGAGGAGTAAGCTGAGTCTACAATCCTCAGAGGACCACAGTTCTTTTAAAAAAATTTGTTTTTCCCCCTTAAAAAACATTATTTTCCCTTAAAAAACAAAACAAACCTATAACGTCATTCATGCTGTCAATGCAGAAAAAACTCACCTGGTTATTAAATAGGTTGCCCTAGGAACTGCAATGAAAAGTGTCCCTGGGGCCAGCTCCCGGGGCCAGCTCGCTTTTATGTGTTAGTTAACGTATCACCCCCAAATGGAAACATGTATGTTTCAGATTGCTTAGACCTCTCTCTCCTTCACACTTCATTCTAAGTAGCCAAAGAGTAGCAAAGGGTTTTCTTTTCCTCTCCCAAATGTCAATATTTTGTACTCAAGGAAAGCACTTGAGAGGGCCGAGATAGAAGAATCCAGAAAATAAGGAGGCTCAAATTCTGTCTGGCCCTATTTGCATCATACCCTTCCACGTATACCTATCCTTGTGCTAAGAGCTATACATAGACTGTGAGTAGAGACGTAAGTACTCCCCACCCTCCTACCCACCCCCCTTAAGTATGTGCTGACTCTTCTTCTAACACACATTTATATTACCTATCTGTGCTTCTGGCCACAAAGGGTATGCTTATGTGAAGGGAGACTGGCGTAGATGAAAATTCAAATATCTTTTGATTCCATATCAGTTTTTCTTTTCCTTTGTATCTCAGAATGTGATATTTGTGAAAGTTTGGGAACTCTGTTACAATGCTGATATAAGGCCATAGAAGAGTGGTTGAGATAGGATTGAAACTTGGAATCTCTGTTCTTTTTACGTAACACAAAATACAACAGTGAGCCTTAATGTATTTTCTATTCTAATTCTCACTTTTGTTATCCAGAGTATTCCTTTTTTATTTATTTTGAATTCCAAAGCTTAGAACACAGATAGATATGGGAAAATGAAAGAAAATATTCAGATGGTTGTAGTTTTATTTCTAACGCACTAAATTGAAGGGACAGAAACAGTTCACTAAAAATGTGATGGAACCTTCCTTTAGGCAGATCATTTTTATTTTACGTTTCTTTATACACTATGCATCTAAAGAAAAGGCAGTATTGGCATGTATGTCCATTATGCTTTCCTGCAATTAATTTCCTGTGGGTTCTAATTAACCATCCCCACAGTGACACCAAAGGTAAAAGCAAATAGTTGTACACTGAAGAGGTCTGAAACCATGGAAGTTCTGCTTTGAGAATTTCTTTAGATAGAACTATATTTTACTTTAGCTCAAGTTACTTAGAAAAGGTATTTCTTGTCAGTTCCTGCCTCTTCTACTCCATTCAGCCACCACCAACAATCTCTCCAAGACCCAGTTTCCTTATTTGTACGGTGCCTCAGCTGTGTGGCTCAGCTGTGTCAGGCCCCTCCCAGTCTCTCAGCCAAAAAAAACCCCACGCCTAGCAGCACAGGGCAGGCTCGCTGTCCACTTGTGACAGGGGTTTGAAAAAAGTTTGCCCTACAATGTCCAAGATGTTCTTTCTCAGACATCTGCTGTGTATGGCCAGATTCAGGAATGTTCTTCTGGATAGGAAGGGATGGGAAAGAAGAGCCCAGCCCCAGGAGGAAGGGAAGGGCGAAAACTAGGCAAAGATTCCAGGATAGCAGCCAATCAGACTAGGATTCAAGAGGCAGGTTCCATTCTTAGTGGGTGACTCAAAGGGTCAGAGGGGGGCATCTCTAAATTTGACACTTCCCCTGATACCCAGCATCACTGTGGCCCAGAAGCCCCCACAGCCCTGCGGCTACTTGCTGGGCTACATCCATACTTGGGCTTGTCAAGTTACTCTAATATCTCAAGTCACTTTCCTGCTCAGCTGGAAGTTCTCACTCATGAAGGTAGTAATAACTGGTATCTCTGCATGGAACAGAGTTTCTTAGTTTGGAACAGTTCAATTATATACAGGCTCAGAATTAATAAAACAACCATAACTGCTGGTGTTGTTTCAACCTCGTAATGTGCACAGTACGGCGGAAACACGGAGAAGTGTTCAAGTCTCAGTTCCGCCCCTGACAAGCCTCTCCAAGTCCCAGCTTCCTCATAGGCAGAATGGGAATAACATGTACCTCACCGGAGTTATCAGGGGGCCATATAAGAGAACGTATTTAGCGGGGTTCTTGACTCAGGAGTAACCTGGTTAAGAGCATGCGCGCTGGAGGCAGGCTCACTGGGTCTCGATGTCAGTTCCTTCACTTTCCAGTTGTGAGACCTTAGGCAAATTACTTAGTCTTTTTAAAATGAAGATAATAACAGAATTTACATTCTAGAGTTTATGAGAATCAAATGATAATGCACAAAGAATGTTTAACACTGTACTTGATAGTGCTCAATAAGGGCAGCTATTATTAATAATAATGCTTTTCCTTTTTACATAAATGCCCAATCCTCAAAAAGAACAGGGATCTTCAATTTAAAATAACAGTTGCTGGAAGTTAACGTTTAAGAATTGGCAATTACCCAGAGGTATTCTAGGCCATTATGGGGGGCACCCTTAGGACAGTCCTTGTCAAATTATATTGTGCCTAGGATTGCCTGGGGATCTTGTTAAAAAGCAGATGCTGGGCTGGCCGGTGGCTTAGCGGTTAAGTGCGCGTGCTCCGCTACTGGCGGCCTGGGTTTGGATCCGGGCGCGCACCGACGCACCGTGTGTCCGGCCATGCTGAGGCCGCGTCCCACAAACGGCAACTAGAAGGATGTGCAGCTATAACATACAACTATCTACTGGGGCTTTGGGGAAAAAAAGGAGGAGGACTGGCAATAGATGTTAGCTCAGGGCCGGTCTTCCTCAGCAAAAAGAGGAGGACTGGCATGGATGTTAGCTCAGGGCTGATCTTCCTCACACACACACACACACAAAATGCAGATGCTGATTTGGTGGGTCTGGGGCGGGATCTGAGAGTCTGCATTTCTCATAAGCCCCAGGGGATGCCAGTGCTGCAAGTCTGCAGACCATACTTTGAGTAGCAAGGCTTTAGACCATTCTAAATATAGTTGGTAGACTAACTATAGTGACAACCCTCTGTAAATAAGCATTGCTCTGAAAATAGATCATCGAAGTAGGTAACTGAACAACATCTCTTTTTTGTACACATGGCTATCCAATTGTTCTAGCACCATTTGAACTGCCTTGGCACCTTTGATGAAAATCAATTGATCACCCATGTGTAGGTCTATATCTGAATTCTCTACTCTATCCTATTGATCTACACGTCTATCTTTATGCCATCACTACATTGTCGGGATTACTGTAACTTTTTAAGTCTTGAAATCAGGTAGTATAAATCTTCTAACTTTGTTCTTCTCCTCCAAAGTTGTTTAGGCTATACTGCATTCTTTCACTTGTTTTTGCTTTTTGTTTTTTTGTGAATATATGAGAAATGCCATTGGAAAATGATAAGGAAACAAAACTAGAAATGGAAATAAGAATGAGGGAAAAGAAGGAACAACAATAACAAAATCAGCGAAACTCCCCTCCTTCATAGGTGAACTTAGATTAAACATCTGAATGGACTGAAACCGACTTATTTCTGTCATATTAAGAAATAAGTAAAGGTAGAAAAGTTGTATCAGTTTGCTAAAGACACAATTTCTACATTTAAAGAGTGAAGGAGTTGGGTAAACTTATAGTGAGAAAAATTCCACTTCTACAGATTTCCATCAACCATGAATCCAAGTGTTACCCGAGTTTGTTCTGAAGCTGAACTAAAGGGAAAAAAGAACCCTAAGCTTTTCTCTTCAAGTTGGGTATGTGCTGATCATTTAAAACCCTTTATAATGTTTAGTGAAAAAACTCAAGCTGAATAGTATGATCGCATTTTTATAAGAAGAACAAAAAAATTTAAAAACATATTTGTGTGTGTATTTCATGGGGAAAAAATGAAGGATACACAGCAAACTATTCACAGCGATCACTCTATGCGAGTGAAAGCTGTAGCACAGAGAAGAAAGGCATAAAGGCATATTTTCCTTTTTTAAAAAATCTGTGCTATTTCCTTTTTTTCTAACAGTTACTTTGTAATTTAAAGTAAAAATTTAAGTTATTATACAGCATTCTAATGAGTTTTAATATACACACAGTGCTTTCCAGTCACAGCCTCTAAGGTTCTCATTTGCTCCAGCCTGGGGACAGCAGGGGCCTCCAGGAGTGAGCCCGGGAGAATTTCAGTTCCTGGAAAAGCCCCATTACATAACCTCAGAAAAGCAACAATTGATGATACTTTACAGAGACAACTATAAGCCTATTCTGTACATAAACGTGGCATGAATTTATTCCTTGAATGTAGGATAAATATCTACTTTCCCATATGAAGTCATTCTATATAGATGAATATTAATGTTTCTGAAACACTAAAACACCTAATTCATTTGATACATTTCTGAAACTGAGTTAAATTTTCTCTGATATTGCCTGAGAACACAGAGAAAAGCAGTCTCTTTTCCTTTTCTAATATTCTTCAGAGAATAAATGCTGCACATGCCGCATCTGATGGGAAACTGTGTGGTCTTCTACCCTGAATATGTGCCATTACTTTTCATTTCAGATGGGCCGTACTTTTCATGTAAAATACTTCCAGAAGGCTACAGGAAAATAATCTTTGATGTATGGTTTATAAAAAGCTAAATATGAGAATGTACACTTTTTTTTTACTCAATTACAGTCATTTGTATAAGGGTCAAAAGAGTAAAATCTATGCTGTACATCCTTGCTATTAAAAGTGTGGCCCATGAACCAGCAGCAGCGGCAGCACCCGGGAGCTGGTTAGAACTGCAGAATCTCAGGCCTCATCCCAGATCTACTGAATCAGAAATGCATTTTCACAAGATCCTCAGGTGATTCCTATGCTGTAGACACAATTATGGTAAATATTCATGAAACTTAAAAGTATGAGAACTCATGTAAAAAAAGGATTAATATTTTAAAAGTTCATTTCCAATAGTCCAGCACACTTTCTCTAAATATGCTACCAGAATCAAAGAAACAATGATAAAATGCCATTAAAACAAATAAGATTGCATCAAACGTTCTGCATAATTTAAAAGCCCTGACCCATCAGCCACTTCAGTCCATTATTAACAAACCCAAATTTTAATACAAAGAAAACTGATGGGTATTTTCTAGGGCGTTATATAAGTAATTCATTCCAAATATTTTTTAGCTAATAAATGGAGACACTTTAAAACATGATGCTTAAAACAAGTACTACCTGCCTGCTGGGCTGTTTAATGGTGAAATAACTTAGACCATATACTTTGAATGCAATTCAGATACTACATAGATGTTAAGAAGCAAAATTAACAAAATGTACATCATGAAATATCACCTCACTTGACGGCTTTAATAAATTTTTTCCATTGAAATACTTGTAACCCTGGCCTTCGGTATGAAGAAAAATTTTAAACACGATGAAAGGTGGAAATGTTTCGCCACTAAATCTGAAATAAAGACCAAAAATTAGTCATTTGGCTTCAGGTTTTGGAGTCAGTTACTTCTTCCCCTTGTACTTAAGGTGGTTCACATAGTTTCTTGCATGCAGGGTAAAGGCTATGCCAGAGCATAGAAAGAACTGGTAATGAAATGCATTACAGAGGATGAAAGAGCCACATTTTGGTGTGTGTGCTCATAACTATTCTCATGTGTGTGTCAGACTGGACACATCATGGGAGATGAGAGCCACTCAAGGCAACTTTAGGCCCAAGAGTCATGCCTCAGTTTCTTCACATAATAAATGTGAATAAGAATAACACATTTACTTTGTAATTATATCCTGAGAAGTTACGAGGACTTAAGAAAATAAATTTCTAAGATTTCTTCATATTAACTAAGTACTTCTTGAAATAAATCAGCATAGAAACATTACCTGAATCTAACTTTACACTTCATGCTAGGATCTTTAACAAGCTCAGCCTCTAAGGGGCTCACTTTCTTCAGTATTTCATGCGACACAAAATGCTCCTGAAATAGATGATGATACTATAAATGGAAAGTGGTACCCTGCTCAGACACAATTTACTGAAAATAACAGAGGTGGCATAATGAAGTGAAAAGTACACCAGACTTAAAGTTCTGAAGACCTGGGTTCTAGTCTTGGCTTCTCCACATATCATCTGTGTAGCCTTGAGTCAGTTACTCCTTTTAGCCTCCAAATTTGGGCATGTGTCCCTCCTTGAGATCCCAAGCGCTGTTCTTTCTCTATGACAACACTTTGCACAATATATTGTAATTAACTATAAACTCATCTGTGTCTCCTAGTAGACTATAAGCTTCATGAAGGTAGGGGCAGTGTCTTTCTTCTTTACCACTGTATTCCTAGCATGAGTATAGTGCCTGGAACATAGCAGGTGCTTGACAAGTTATTTGATGTTGAATGAATCACTTTAAAATGAGGATGATAACAGTAATGTTACTAGCTTTTAAGCACCTTTTTTATACCACATACTACATTAGCTGCCTTATACACACAACCTCATTTAATCCTTATGACTCAGCAATATTACTCGAATATTACCCTTCCCATTTTACTGAGCAGGCTGAGGCTCTGGGAGTGTCTGAAACTCATCCAAAGGCATACAGGTAGTAAACAGGGAAGCCACGATTTAAACTTAGATCTGTTTGACTCTAAAGCCCTGACGCCCCATCCCCATAGGATGACCCTGCCCAATCTTAATGCCTATGATAATCACATAAAAATGTACACCAAAGGGCTTTTAAAATGACAAAGCATTATTAATGTAAGGTAGTAACTTGAAACATTAGGATAACGTTTTTCTGTTACTAAACGAGTCTAAAATTATGACAAAACTAGTATTATGATAATTAATTACAAGTTCCATATGTGAAGATAATGGACAATGGACCTGAAATGTCACGAGTTTACCGGGGTGGGTTTTCTCTGACGCATTTAGCTTTTACTGACATAAGAAATGGTTCTGTGGATCAGATGGTGAAGAAGTGTACATATTGCTCAGACTTTATGATTTTTTTCAGAGCTGCTAAAATTCCCTTAATGTGACTATTACTAATTATAGACTACTGTAATCATGGGTGATTTTATTAGAAGAATATTTGGTACTATATGCAGGAAGGCTTAATACTCTGCCAAGGTTGCCAGAATTGTTTTTTTGGGGAGTCGGGCAATATGCATCTTGTTTTGTTTTTTTTGTGTGTGTTTTTTTACTCAAATAGGACCATATTATTCATGGTGTTTTGCACTTGCCTTTTTCACTAACGAGATATCTTAGCTATCTTTCTATCACAGAATCATATGCAAGGCTGCAAGGTTTAACACTACGAAAGCACCAACACTTATTTAACCAGCATCCTATCAATGGACATTATGTAGTTTACTCTCTTTGCTGTTACAAACAATACTGCAATGAAATTGTACATATATTATAGAATGAATTCCTAGAAGTGAAATTGCTGGGTGGAAGGTAAGGGTACTTTTAATTCAGAGATTTTTATTGTTGGAAGATCACTGTCTCACATCTTCAAATAAAAAAATCAAATTTTTAAAAACATCATACTGGTTTCAGAAAAAGAAATAATAGTCACCCATGTTAAAAATAAATCCAGAAATATTCATTTAGGGCTAACCGAAGAAGCAATCCCAGAACCCCATGCAATATTATTAGATTCAAATAGAAGAGATAAAAAAGGTTATATATTCTACTTTTACTTAACAGACCTTTTAGCTTAATAAGTAATTAAATCTGTCAGAGAAAACAAAAAGCAAAATACATACCGCTGCACAAATTGTGTGCTTTAGGAGCTGAAATATTGTTTTGTCCATATGAGCTAACCAAGCTCTCTGTATCGTTTGAGCTGAAATATCTTTATTAACTCTGAGAGAAAAAAAGAGGCTGAGATTTGTGAAATATTTTTCATTTTCCTAAAATCTTGGGGAGCTCTGAATTTATGCTTCCTCCTCCTGTACCTCCCCATCCCCCACCCTAAAGCTGACCTAATGAGGAACATTTGGATGTGGTAATTGGAACTGGTCATTTGCAGAATCTAGTCAGAATGAGGATATGAAATACTTGATATTTCCCTTGAGATCAAAAAACAGTCCTGGCTTAAACTTTATCATCAAAAGGCATATATATTATAAATAAAAAGTGTGAGGGAACAAACTTGTTTTCTAAAAACATCCACGACCTAAAATGATTCCATTATGGTTAGTTCTTAAAAACACTGTCCAACTAGTTCAAGTGCTATGAAAATAGAATGAGGAATAGTCAAAGTTACAGCAGGCCCCATTCTCTTCTGGGAGCAGATGACCATGCTCTAGAAAAAGAAACTCCCTTCTCTATCTTTGCTTGAACCAGGCTTATTCCAGTCAGGCCAGAGAATTATTCTACTTTTGATCATATCCCAGCACTGGCAGATTGTAGGGATCCCCCTCTCTGAGATTGGCCCACCCTGTCACTACCCCTCATAGGGCTACATGCAAAGAGAGGTAGGTACTCCTGTATAACGTCACCGTTAGCTGGCAAAATGCAGACTACAAGATGTTAGAGTAAAAAAGGCCTGAAATATGGAAACAAATCTTTGAATCCCAGCTGATGCCATTTATTAGCTGTTTAACCTTCTGCAAATCACTTACCTTCTCCCACTTGCTGCTTCCTCATCTACAAAATGTAATAATAAGATTGCTTCACCGGGTTGTGTCAGGATCAAAGAGATGTGTGTTAATATACTTTGTAAATTATGAAATACTATAATTATAATACTTATTATTCAATTCAAAAGTAATTTTAAAACACAAAATCTGTAACTTACAAAACAAGAAATGTTGGATGTTAGCTAGGTAAATACCGTATGGAAACTGTCCAGTTGTGGAAAATGATACAGGCGATACATGGCTACTTACTCTTGTATTGTCTTTGTCTTTAAAATATTTGACGAATGTACTTTGCGGCCTTTTCCTGAAGGTGGATTATCTGATTTTGAAACACCAGTAACCAATGCCTTTGAGGAACGACTCATTTTCCTTACAATGGAGTACTCTGAAAGTACATAAATTAAGCATTTGAGGTCATAATCTATATTATTACACTGGACAAGACTCAAGTGCCATATGATTGTTGCACTAATTCCGGAACCCCTTAGAAAGGAAGGCATCGTGGATCTCTTAATGTTGCTTACAGTTTACATTGTCTGCACTGCAGCTGGAATGAACTTTTTAGAGCAATAATCCAACCTTATCACTCCCCAACTTAAAATCTTTCAGGGACACCTCATTTCTTCCAAACTAAAGCCCCAGACTCCTCAGAAAGGCATTCAAGTCTTTTCACAATCTAGTTCCATTCTCTTTCAAATCTCAAAATACCGACTTTCATCAGCATTCCTCTCCATGCTCTGTGAGAACAAGAACTTCTTGCCAAAATCATTCAATGTTTTACAACTCTGCCGCTGATCATGCCACTTCCTCTACCTGCAATGACTTCTCTACCACCAGCAAACATCAATTCATCCTTCAAGACCCCAGTTAATTGATGCCTCTTCTCTGAAGTTTTTCACCTTCTCTTTTTTACAGAACTGCTCACTCCTGTCTCCAAGGTCCCATAATACTGTATATGTTTTTCTTTACAGTACTTCTCATATCGCGTCATATTTGTTTTCTTGGCTGTCACCCCAACAAGCTCGCTGAGACATCAGGAGACATCTTGCTAACTATGGAATCCCCAATGCCTAGCAGAGTGGAGGGTTTTTACAAGCTTGTCTAAAAACTTTCCATCCGGTTTTTTTTTTTTTTAAAGATTTTGTTTATTTTATTTTTTCCCCCCAAAGCCCCAGTGGATAGTTGTGTGTCGTAGCTGCACATCCTTCTAGTTGCTGTATGTGGGACTCGGCCTCAGGATGAACAGAGAAGTGGTGCCTCGATGCGCACCCGGGATCCGAACCCGGGCCACCAGCATCGCAGCACGCGCACTTAACCACCAAGCCACAGGGCCGGCCCTCCATCTGGTTTTATCATGCAATAGCTGTGTGAGTTTGGGCAAGTCCCTTAACCTCTCAATAGCTTAGTTCTCTCCTTGGCAAAATGAGAGGGTGTGTACTTAATGATCTGATTCTACCTCTTTCTATCCTTTGACACATTACTCCAATTTGGATGCAGCTCCCAAATTCTTAGTCTCTGCTTAGTCTCTTCTACTAAACCAGGGGCTCTTGATCTTTTCTTTTGGTGCCATGGACCCTACAGACAGACTCTAAGAACTATATACATATTTTTTTTTTATAATTTTATTTTATTTATTTTTCCCCCAAAGCCCCAGTAGATAGTTATATGTCATAGCTGCACATCCTTCTAGTTGCTATATGTGGGACACGGCCTCAGCATGGTCGGAGAAGTGGTGCGTCAGTGAGCGCCCGGGATCCGAACCCGGGCCACCAGCAGCGGAGCCGTGCACTTAACCACTAAGCCACGGGGCTGGCCCAAGAACTATATATTTTTAAATGCATAACATAAAATACATAGGATTACAAAGGACTCCAATTATATTGAAATCATTCTCAAAATATTTTCAAAAATAAAATCATAGAAATGTGTCTTCTTTATGCACTAAGTAAAATGAGAGCTCTAATAACTACTGTACTTGCGAAGTGGTAATGAGCAGAAATATTTCAAGAAATCTGCCATGACTGTAATGTGATATGAAAATATCTGTGCTTTCTATTGATGACAAAGCCACAGAGACTGCTGATACTACTGTGGTTTTTGCCTACACTATAGTTGAAAGATATGCTAAAGTTCAGTTAGAGGTTAGTGAAAATAAAGTTGTCAATTTTTCCCCATCCAAGTTCACGTACCCCTTGAATTAAGAACTCTTGCCTTAATTTATCGCTATACTTCACACTTTTATATAAATAGGACATTCCCTTACTTATGCAGAGCCTTCAGAGTCTACTCAATATTTCTCCTTGGGGATAGGTATGGGGATGGCTTGGAACATACAATTCTCTCGAGAAAGAGAAAAGCAGCCCTTAACACCCGGGAGCTGGCCTGGCACTCACAGCTGGGCTTCAGTGTTACCCTGGCTTCCTAACAACACCCAATCCAGAGCAAAGCCCCTCTTCCTTGAACTCACCCCAAAATCACCCAACCAAAGCCCAAATCCTGTAATAAATCTTTGTAACACCCAATTACTGAGATGCCCCACTGTTTTCCAAGGTGTGGGTTTTCCTCGCAGCAATGAGAAATAAACCCAACTTGTTCAACTACAGATGTGTTCCCAGTGGTCTTTGGCTGGATGGCAGTGACACGCCATCACACAAATCCCCAAATTCTTCTGGATGCCCCCCTGGATGGATTTACACTTTTTATGGGGTTAGGATGTGAAACAAGAATGAAATATGAAACACACCCCCATTATGAGACACTATAATAATTATTTAGGCAAGATCACAGGCTTTAAAGGTAGACTACCTAGTTTGGATCTTGGCTTCCCATTTTCCTTCTGTGTGTCCCTGTAAATTACTTCTCTGTGCCTCAGTTTCCTCATCTATTAGATTGGGAATAATAATCGTGCCCATCTACTTGGGTTGTCGGAAAGATTAGATGAATACGTGCAAAGAGCTTAGATAAGAGCTGGGCACATAGTAAACTGCCGGGTTAGTGCTCGCTATTCTTGTTCATAAGCTGATTACTGTCATTATTACTTATTTCTACTAGTTTTAAGGGACCGACATTTCATTCTCAGTGAGGGGCATACGCTTAAGTATTTTAAAGAGAAAAAAAGAGATCAGGGCCCTTCGAGACTAAAGGACGTGACAAATTAGTTTAAATTTAAAACCTCAGAAACGTCCAGCCCACAGTAAAAAAAAAAAAAAATCGGAAAACCTTTTGCGAGGTGAATCCAGGCCCCGAGGTCAGCGGCTTCCGGCTGCGAGGCTTTCGCAGCCGCCCGAGGCCCTCCGAGCGCCCTCGCCCGGCGGCCTCGGCGCACAGGATTCCCAGCCCACGCCTCTGGGCGCCCAATAGCGGCGGCGAAGGCCGATTCCCAGTGCTGTGCCGCGCCCGGCGCCTCGCTCCTCGCGCCCCCGCGTGCCGCCCACACTGAGCTGGCGCTTTCCTGCCGCCTAGCAACCGCCGGCTCAGGGGCGGAGCTTCCTGGAGGGCGGGGCTTGTGTTTTTTTGGGCCGGGGCGCGACGCTCTGCAGCTCCGCGACGCCGCTTCCAGCCCAGGCTTCTGAACTAAGCTTTCGCAGGATCGAATTGGCCGTACGGCCGGCCGTCATCCGCACCGCGGCCCGCCTGCAGTGGGAGGAATCAGGGCCCTACCCGGCCGCCGTATCCGCCTCTCTGTAGTGGGCGGGGCCGGGGCCGGGGTGACCCCGCCGGAACCGCCGCTGCCAGCAGCATGTTCAAGGTGAGAGCGTGGAACCGGGTCGCAGCTGTCACCGCCCCCTCTCGGCTTCCCGGAGCCCTCCTCGAGCTCTTGTGGGCCTCTCCGGGGACCAGGCCCGGCTCGTCCCGAGGCTTTTCCCGCCTCCGGACCGGCTGCGTCCCAGCCCCCGGTTCATTCACCTGTCCGCTTGGAGCGAGCAGCTGCCGGGCGGAGGCGTGAGACCCCGGGGTGGGTGGGGGAGCTCTTTTGGTCGTGCTCTCCTTAATAAAATACTTTAAAAAGTTAAAGTGCCCCCCAGAGTCTCCACCCTGCCCCCCACCGGCTTGTGCTCTCTTGGGTTCGTGGGTAGGGTGAGGCCAGCTCAAGGCACTGCAGGGTTCGGCTTTGGTTGCCTGGCAGAGTCAGGTTTCAGAACCTGGTGTGTGAATGGGGGAGGGTCAACTTTGGAGAAGCTGCTGCAGGGTGTAGGGGAGGCTGGCATGGGAATGGCTGGGTGAGGGGAGAAGCTGGAGCTTTGCTCCCCTCCCCAGGAAGCATTATTTAGTATGGACAAGTCGACCCTCTTTAATTTTATGAACTCGTCGTCTTTGAAAGAAATTGATTTTTACAGTGAAGACTTTGTTCGAAAATCTGCATTTTAACGTGAAGCCATTATCATACCACTTTAAAAAAAATGATATTTTCTATCACGAAGAACAAATCACAAGCTACCAGAAATTAGTCTACAAAATTGAGTCTTCAAGAAGCATAGAAACCATAAAATAATGCTAATGGAATTTCAAAATTGTACTACTCATTTAAAAGTTTTATTGAGCTCCTGTAGTGTACTTTGGGCACATTAGTACAGGTTGTAAAATCGGAACATGGATTGTCTTCCAATCTTGGCATCACAGCTTTCTAGCTGTGTGACCTTGGGCAAGTCACTTAACCTCTCTTTGCCTGTTTTCAAATAGGTGAAATTGGGGGGACTAGCATCTTCCTCATAGGGTTGTTATAAGGAATAAAAAAGTTAGTATGTGTAAGGCACTTGGAAGAAGCCCTGGCACATAGAAGTGCCATCTACATATTTGCTTTTGTTTTGTTCTCAGGAAGGTCCCAGTTTAGTCAGGATGACAGAACCCAAAAGCAATTTATGTTCATTTGATAAATTTGTGTTGAACGCCTATAATGTGCTAGGAGCTCAGCTCAGTTTTAGGGTTGCAACAACAAAGAATATGCTGTGATCAGTTGACATGGGTATCAACAATATACCATGTTGGTAAAAGGGAGAGCAGGATCTCCTCTGCCTAACTAGGGGTTCTTATCCTGTGGTCCTCAGCCCTTCAGAGAGTCTGAATAGAATTCGGGGGGTTCCTGAACTCTGATGGGAAAAAATCTTTATTTTCACCAATCTCCAACTGAAATTTAGCATTTTTTTCAGTTATAAATGTAGGTAACTGTTTCAGTTATCTTGCTGCATAGTGAACCACTGCAACTCAGTGCCTTGAAACAACAATGATTTATTATTTCTCACCATCTGTAGATTGTCTGGGCAGTTCTGCTGCCATCCCCCCGTGGCTGCATTTAGGTGGTGGCTAGGCTACAAGGTGGCCTAACTCCCATGTCTGGGAGCTTGGTGCCCCTCACTGTGCCTAACTTGGGCTTCCTTACATGATTACTGGGTTCCAAGAGGGCTAGTCCCAATGCCTAAACACCTGCCTGCATCACATTTGCTGATGTGAAAACAAGTCGCAGACTCTACTGACTGTAGAGTCAGTATGGTGGAGGACCACATCAGAGCATGGATATGAGGCGGTGTGGTTCACTGGGAGTGATTAATTTAATAAGCTACTACAGCAACAAACCACAGTAGTAGTAGCAGTACCTGTCACCAGTAGAAGTCACAGGACCAATGCATGTCACAGACATTTTCATATTGCATTACAGGTGTTGCAGATCTCAGAATATCATTTATGCTCATCACTACTTCAAAATTACAGTAGTTATAAGACTCACTCTTAGATCTTTTTATTTAATGAGCTAATAAGCACATATTACTATATCAGATTTGGGGTTTAAAAAATATCTTTATAACTATTGCAATAGGTGTTTTATGGAATTAGAAGCATTATTTTGAGAAGGGGTCCATAGGGCTCACCAGGCTACCAAAGAGGTCTATGGCACAAGAAAGGCAAGGAACCCCTGGGGACTTCACGGGAGGCTTCACAGAGGAGACATTTAAATTTAGTTTTGAAAGATAAGTTGGAGTTCCTCAGGTGGAGGAGTTGGGAAACATTAGCAGTGGTACTCCATTGGAGGAAGTGCCAGTAGCTCAGTTCTCCTGTGTCACGGGAAGATACGGTGAACTGAAATTATCCAAACGTAGTTTGAGTAGAAAAAAATCACAACAAACCTTGGTGGACAACAAAATGTAAGGAGTAGGCAGAGGAAGAGGGAAGGCCAGAGATGTTTGAGAAGCAAATTTTGATAAGTAGCAGTAGGAGCACAAAAGAGTGATGTTGAGAAAATCAAGAGAGGAAAGTTGCACGGAGGACAGCCTATGTTAAGACGCTTTCAACTGGGAAAACAGTTGCTTAAATAGTAAGGAAAGTTATCTCACCAAGTCCAGGGGAAGTGTAGACTCCAGTGGGTCAACGATGTCATCAAGGACCTGGTCTCTTTTCTTGGCTTTTCATAGTAAGATTGGTTCCCCTTATGGTTGCAAGATGACTGCCAGTACACATGCTTTCCCATTCACTAGAGCAAGAGAAAGAGGACAAAACTCCCACACTTGGATTACGCTCTTCCTTCAGTCTGAATGGACCATCTTCGGTCAGGTGTCTGCCCCTGATCCGATAGCCAGTGCCAGGGGAATGCCATGCTCTGATTGGCTTAGACTAAACAGGATCAGCTCAGGATGGAGTCACTTTATCTTAATCACATGGGAGAGAAATGAATGCATGAACACGATGGGGGAATGGAGACTGGATGTGCAACCAACAATGTCCATGACAGAAAGATGAGTTATCAGATGAATTTGGAGAAGTGTTTGTTTATTTGGGCAATTTGGAAAGCTTTCATGATCTTTATACATGTAGGTTTACTGGTGGAAGTGAAAGCTAGATTAATACAGGTTGGTGACTGAGAGATGAGTAAGTGAACACAGTGGTGGGGTTGATAAACTTGACTGTCAAGGGAAGGAGAGAGAATATGGTAACTAGAGGGACATGTTGAGTCAAGATTCTGGAGTTGTTTTGTGGTTGTTCCAGTATTCAAGATTTGGCAATGTGTATGGCCAGAGAGGGAGCTTTTATAAGAGAGACTCTCTCAGCTTTGAAAAGGAGCGAGATATTCCCTTCCTCCTGTGAGATGGAAGGAAAAGAAGGGTGGGAGTGATTGTAGACCAGTGGTTCTCAACTGGATGGTACTACCCATTTGTGGTGCGTTTTGGAAACTCCAGTGGTTCTTCATGTCTTTAGTTGTGTTGAACATTTATATACTGAAATATAATTCTTATTATAAATCTTTCCTTTTTGTTTTCCATTATGTTACCATCAAGTCAGCATGCTCGTCTCTTTCTTTTGGACTTATGTGTGTAGGTGGGTGATGAATTTTATTTCAAGATAGCAAAAGAGTTACTTAGAAAAATATTTGTCATAAAATGGCGGTGTTAGGTCTAGTAGCTGAGAACCAGTGCTTCTCCAACTTTAATGTGCTTGTGACTTGTTAAAATGCAGGTTCTGATTCAGTAAGTCTGGGGTGGGGCCTCAGATTCTCCATTTTTTAACAAGCTCCTGGGTGATAGAGATGCTGCTAGTCCCCCATCATACGTTGAATAGCAAGAACTGAGGCAAATTGAGAGGTGAATGGTGTTTTCGAGATGAGTGATTTTATGAGCATGGTGGGATTTGGAAGAGGCACTGAGCAAGGAACAAAAAAGATAAGTGAGAGGCTTTGAGGGCTCTGCTGAGAGCAGCTATGGGAGGTCCGTCATGATTGCAGTCTGGGAGTGGGGAAGAGCAAATGGTAGGACTGATCTGGGTTTGAGAGTTGTCAGCTTGGACTGGAGGGCAAAGTTGTTGATGAGTATAGATGTTGATGGGAAAAGTACAGTGTGTGTGACCAGTTACGTGCATATACCATTAAAATATTTAAACTGTAACCATTGTTTTAATTTAGCTATCTATCTTCAGGTCAGTAGGGGGCACTGGTGAATTAAAAAACATTTGAAAAGCTGCCCAGTGTTTGCATTCTGTTGTAGCTTGAAGCAGCTTCTCCCAGTGCAGCTGCAGGAAGCTTGAATATTGAATATGTACAGCCAGTCCCCAGATTCATGTTACTAGATTTCATTCGTTACACAAATGTTTATCACAGTCCATCTATGGGCTGGGCACCCTGCTGGACCCTCATGGGTACAAATGAAAAGACCCAGTTCTTACCTAGGAGAGAGTCCCTAAATTTGGCTGCACATCAGAATTATTTGAGAAACAATTTCCAGGGCCCTGCCCACGGTTCTGATTTAGTTTTTTTTTTTTTTGTGAGGAAGATCGGCCCGGAGCTAACATCTGCCAATCCTCCTCTTTTTGCTGAGGAAGACTGGCCCTGGGCTAACATCCATGCGCA